AATGGGCTGTTTTGTTACTGTGCCTGCCCAAGGCTGATACCTTGCACTGTCCAAGTAACACTGCAGATTCTGTCATCAAAATCATACCTGTATTCTCCATGTATTTTTTCAACTGCATTTTGTATTTTAATTTTGGTCTATATTATTTTATTTTCATCTGAATGATAAACCCATCATGAGGGTAGAAAAGGAAGAATTAGCCAATCTTAGCCTGGCTCCTGCACAAGGATTCAAATTCATAAAGCATGTCACAATAAAAATAAATAAGTAACAGGTACTATCTGTGCACACACATTTTATGTATATATTAACCATTAATTACCATAGTCATGTTGAGAGGGCAGGGTCTTGCTGAGTTGCTTTATGCCTTGCTAAGAGGCTGAGGCTGGCTTTGAACCCATGATCCTCCTGCCTCAGCCTCCCATGCTGCTGGGATTACAGGTGTTGGCCATTACACCCACCAATGACCTTTAGTTTAAGTGGCACTCAGGAGTCACAGCAAAAGCTACAGAGAACCCGGAGCTAAAATGCCAACCCCAGTCCCGCACCCTTCTATCTCTAAAGCACAGAGGATGGCAGGTTTTAACCTGTGGTGACGTGGCCTTAACTCAACAAGTCTGGCTGCTGGATTGAACCCAAGGTCAATGTGAAAGCTGTTCAGTGGCAGCATTTGTCACCCCCTGGAGGACAGCCCAAGACACCTTCTTCCTCCACCTAGCGTGTGAAGACTCCAGCTGCATTTCTGTGGGTACTGCAGGGGGCTCCATGGTCACTGGTCCCCAAGAATGAAGGAGGCTGCCATTCCTCCTGACTCTCAAAATGTCCACTCTAACCAGAGGAAGAATGTCCGACATGGGGGCCTCCATCTTGCAAGTTACCAACCCTGTGCCAGAAGATACTCAGATACTGTTTTCTGCTTCTTAGGAGGAAATCTTGCTCTGCTGCAGAGGCTGGTCTTGAACCCCTGAGCTCCAGGGATCCTCCTGCCTCAGCCTCCTGAGTAGCTGGACCCACAGCTGGACCTGCTGGGCCCAGCTCAAACATGGCAGCAGATTCAAAGTCGTGCTGAGCCTACGGTATTGCCTGCCCCTCCAGCAGTGTCTTCTGACCTCACACCACGGGCTGTGACCCTGCACCCCTGGGGCACTGGTGAGTTCTTTCCTGGGCTGGGGATCTAGCTCAGTTGGTAGGGTGCTTGCTTTGCAGGCACAAGGCCCTGGGTTCAATCCCCAGCAACATACACACAGCTCTTTGCTTTTTAGCAATTAGGATAGCCATTCTGGTGATTAGGGGCACTTGGTAAGGTCCTTCCATCTCAGTTGAAGCTTGTCTTCTTTACAGGTCTTGATTAAATCCACGATGCCACGCTGCACGGGATGGATCGTGAACTCCAGGGGAGGCGTCTGAGCCCGAGTTCATAATGAACGCACCAGCAAACAGACAGACAATCTCGAAACATCCACAGATCAAGTCTGCCCACGCAGGAGGTCAAAAAGGTTGTAGGTGTCAAATGGACTCAGAATAGATTGATTGTGACTCTGAGGGAACTTGTTGTGATGTCCATCAGGCAGGCCCATAGGAAAGCCCTTCCTCCACCATCTCCCAGGGCCACTTACTGTTGGATGGACTGACACAAAGGTACATCTCAAGTCACAGAAAAGAACTATCATCTGATCCCGTGAATGCCCACGTCTGGCTGTGTGTGGTTGGACTCTCCTGCCAGGCGTCTGAGACCAAGTTGGACCATTTTCCTATCTACTCTGAGATTTGTGGGGTATCACTCTTGGGAACCTGGGAGAACCCTCTTGGCCCCTTTCGCTGTTTCTCTACGAGTTGGGCCATGTGACAGGATGGGTCAGAGTCTTGCTGAACAACTGTTGCTTCTCTTGATGTATCCAAAAATATTTCCCTGTCCACTCAGTGACCCTCCTCTGTGCAGAATGTGCTCTGGCTGGATTCTGTTTTCTGAGGTCCTTTCAATCCCTCTGAACACGCTTTTGGGTGCCTCACACCAGTGCTGTAGGGACCTGAGAGGGACACCATATCTCCCTGGATCCTGGCTGACCCCAGAGAGCCAGGGCCCAAATATTGGCTTCTATTTCCTTGACCCTTTTACTTCCTTAACTTTGGTCTCCAGGATTTGGTTTTAAACATCGAGCAAGTCAGTTTCTGCAGTCTTGAAGTGGGAGTCCTGGGTTTGCATTTCAGTGCATATCATTTTATAGTGACCCCTTCAACTTAATCAGGGTCATTGTTAATACTGAAAGTGGGTTGTATCTTCTATCTAAAGGCTAATTGACTCCACTGAACTCAGGTGTTCTTTTAGATGCAGTGTTTCTGCAAAAACACCAAACAGGCTACAGCTACAAAGTTTTACAAAGAAAATACAGAATGAAATTAAAAAGAGTAAAAGTGTGTTCAGTTGGTATAGTAGCTATGAACCCAAAAATGCATTTTATCCAAATCTTTTATGAGTCCCATATTATATCCCTGGTTCTTTTTTTTTACATGACAGGAATCTTTACAATAAAAAAATGTATCTTGTGAATGTAACATTAATTGTGCTTCATTCTGGCCTACTTTGGAGACATCCTGACTTGGTGCAAGGTGAGAGGCAGAGCATTATCTCAGGGGAGGTGAGGTCCATGGCAAATTTTAGGTAAAATGCTTTATTTCTGCAGCTGATCTTTGCCTTAAAATATCTTAAATGGCAGCCTTCAGCCATTTTCCCCTTGAAGGAGCCTGCCTGACCCCCACATTGGAGAAACAAATCCCTGATGATTTTGCAGGATCTGGTGTACTCCCCTCTGAGCCCATCAGGGACCACCAGGTGAAGAGGCTTCTCCAGTGAACTTGAGGTCGAGACCATTGCATGGCCAGTTTACACTAAGTACCCACGGGTGTGTGTGCACGTGCTTATTTGGAGTTTGCTGGCATCAGAATCCCCAGGAGAAGGCCTTGTTCACATCCACAGGGCTCCCCACTCCCCCAGTTCAGATGCAGCCCACCTGGGATGTGACCTGAGCACGTGTATTTCTAACCAGTGTCCAGGAGATGGTGAGGGCCTTCCTTAGAGCCCATGGGAGGCAGGAGTGAGGTCGAGGGGGTCTCTGGCCACCTGCCTCTGGAACCCCAGGCAAGCGCTTTGCTCTATCTGATTGCCACACTCCAGCTGGTGGGATGAGAAGTTTGGACGCGTCTAACGCCTTGTCCCAGGTTAAGAGTCAGTCCTGAGTCCCATTATGCCATAAGGAGTCTAGGCCCTGGTGCCTCCTGTGTGAAACCTCCCGTGCACCCAGGAAGCACCTGGGGGACCACAGCTGCAGGCTTCACTCCTGCTTTGGGGATGCAAACGGGCTGCAGAAGACAGGCAGGCTCCCACCAGCCTCATCTCCCCTCTCTATCAGGGGACCTTGAGCAGGGGACTCCTCTCTGACTGCATTCTGGTGTGGAAGGGTCCCTGAGAAGTCACTTAGAAGCACTGATGTTCCTCTGTCAGGTTTAGCGAGTGGAGGTGGGCGGAGCCCAAGTGCTGGGCGGAGCGATCCAGCTAAGGCCAACCCTTAGGAGCAGCGGGCAGGGCGGGGCCTAGGGAGGGAGTGGAACCTGAGGAATGGGCGGAGCTGGGGGCGGAGCTGAGTGGAAAGCGTGGAGCCCGGCGAATGGGCGGTGCTGGGGGCGGGGCCGAGCAGAGCGAGGGGAGCCCAGTGAATGGGTGGGGCTGGGGGCGGAGCCAAGCGAAGCCCAGCGAATGGGTGGAGCTGGGGGCGGAGCCGAGTGGAGCCCCACCCCTAGGAGGAGCGGGGGGCGGGGCCAGCGGAACCACTCGCGAGGAGCGCCCCGCCCTGGGCTCCCAGGTGAGCGCCGCACGAGGACCAGAAGCTGAGGGCGGGGCGGGCGCGTCCTTAAGAGGGAAGGAGCCTGACAGGCCGTGGGTCTGGGAATCCCGCCAGAGGTCGCTGTGGACCCTGCCGACAGTGTGCCTTTGGGCTCCAGCGGCCCAAGAAGTGACCCCAGAGTCCGCTCCGCCGGCCGCAGTTCCCCCCTCACACGGGAGGCCGCGGAGGGAGGCCGAGGACCCGCTGCGCAGCCTCCTTCGTCCCTCCTCACGGACGCGGTGGACTCTCCGTGTGTCCAGGTGGGTTGGGGTCCGGGGGTCTCTGGGAGGGTCCTGGTTGGGGTCCGGGGGTCTCTGGGAGGGTCCTGGGCATGTCGCCTTGGAGACTGGTTTCTGGGGGCGACCGTGGTCCCGGCGTGTCGCGGAGACCCCTCCTGGTGCCTGCGGTGTAGACGGCGTGACCTGGAGGCCGAGAGGGTGGCGTGTGGCTGTCACCGCTGGTCCTGGGGCGGCCCTCCCCCGCACTGACCCGGGCAGGGCGTCCTGGTCCTGGGCAGGGGGAGAAGCGGGGACGGGGAGCGGCCTCGACCCTGCCAGGGCGACCTTGGGGACTCGCTGCAGCAGGATGCGTGGGACACCGCCTGTCAGGCTGGACAGAGGACAGCGCAGCCCCGGGGCCTCTAAGGGAAGGTTTGGCGGTGGCTGGGCAGGGATGACGGCGACGTCGTGGAGACGCACAGGTAACATGTAACATGGTGGCATGACCAGGTGACAGGGGGACAAAAGTGGTTGGACCTGGTATATTTATTTACAATTACGTACATGTCCTGTACACGTATGTGTTATGTGCACGTATCCACGAGGTTGTGTGATATATATACAGACACATGTTGATAATTTTGTCTCATAAAAGAAGCGGGGATTTGTGACGGAGTGGTGTGGGGGAGGGGCCCAAAGACCAGGGACACTCCCTGAATCTTCATCTGGAGCCAGCTGGGGGGTGGCTGACCCCCATCCTGGAAAATACTGCCATGAGGCTGAGGGTGACCTGGGGTGAGCACCGAGAGGCGCAGGGAGCCTTGCTGTGTGCCCGGGACCCACCTCCATGGAGTGACATGGAGAAGAGGGCAAGTCTATGAAGGAGGCGGAGAGCAAGGGCATCGGGAAGGGCGATGGAAAAACTGGGAGATGGAAGGACTCGGACTTCTGGGAAAGGCGCGGCCTCTTGTCCTGAGCCCACTCAGAAGTGAACTAGAGGGTGACAAGGACGGAGCATTAGATTTGGTACCATGGAGGTGTCTAAGGGTCTCAGTGGCCCCCTGTCCGCAGGTGGTGGGAACTGAAGACAAATGAGGCCTTAGGGGGGAAGCTGGCCCAGGAAGGGCAGCAGCTGGAGCTTGTCTTTCTGATTGCAGATGGTGACACGTGGGGACGCCCAGGCAGGTGCTAACACGGGAGGTCTCTGGAAAGTGCATTATTCTGTTGTTGGGTTATAGTTAAAGCTTTGGCCTGGGGTTTCATAAACTGACTTCCAGAGCACTCACATATAATTGAGTCAAGCCTTTATTGAAGCACACCGGCGGCAGCTGGCCAGAATATAAAGCTGCGTCCCTGATCAGCCCCGGACAATTTCAAGGGCGCTTCTTATAAGTCTAAAACCACAAAAGGGATGTTCAGGGGGGTCTAGCCAATGCAAGCAAGCCAGGTCACAGAAGCAGGAGAGTGCAGTCAGGTGGCGGAAGCCTAACCAATCACAGCCCAGTCACCCCAGTTACAGAAACAATGCCCCATTAGGTAGTTCCATGTTCTTAAAGGTTTCCATAGCAAAAGGAAAAGAACATCTTGCCCCAGTCATGACCCTTGTACTTGACCTGGTTGTTCTACAGAATGGAGTCACAAAACAAAATGGAGTCACATTTGCTTTTACTAGCACATGGTTTTAGTAGGTTTGATGTCAATCTTGCACATCATTAGGCCTCAGTTTCTTTCCCATCCTTCTGTGACTAAGGGACCATACTGGGCTCACAAGCCCATAAGTCGGACCTCACCTACATTCTTGTGTATATGGTTTAGGAGGGTTTTTAAGAGGCAGCGTCCTACAGGAATCCCAATCAGGAGAAGGGGCCCAACTATGGCTGAAATGATGATACTCAACCAAGGGGACCATGAGAATAGGTTTTGGAACCAATTGCCTGAAGTGTCTTGTGCTTCCTTTCTTTCCTTTAACCTGTTTCTCATTAGCACCAAACTGTCCTTGATTATCCCAGAATGGTTTGCATAGAAACAACAAGTTTCTCCTAGGGCCATACATTGTTTTAGAAATGGTAATTGTTTTAGGTCCTCCTTGTTTTAGAAAGGGACGCTCTAGACCTCATCTGTTTTGTAAGACTATTTCTGTCAGAGCGTCTAGGGACACCTCTAGTTTGGAGACTGACCTTTCTAGTTCTCCTAAATCTCTATCTATCTGAGGCTGAGGGACTTAACATTTTTAGAGCCTGTGGTCAGAGCTGCCTTCCTAAAGCAGCAGATCCAGCTATTCCCAAACCAGCCAGGAGGGGAACTCCAATGGGGGCAACCCATCTGGGTTGATAAATCAGTGGGCCCTGGCCTTGTAATAAGTCCAGGTGTTCCTTTCCTTTTTAAACTCCATCAAAATAGTAGGTTCCATAGTTCAGAGTTATTGACAGTTTGGAGACTTGGGCAAGGAGTTCGAAGTGGGACCCGGGAAGTACAATTTTTGGTGAATGGGGAGTTGTCCCACTTACAAGTTGGGTTGTGGGAGCAAGTGTCTCTTTCTGGGAGGTCACCCAGGGTGGTCTTGGGAGTAGTTTTCCAGGTCCATCTTCCTGAACCAGACATAGTGGTGAACACCTATACTGATCGTGATTTTCCCCCTAATTTTAGGGACCTCCTACTGGTTAGGAAAAGGGCGATGACTGTTCTTGCTTTGATCTGAGAGGGGAGCAATGTGCAGTGGGCAAGCAGTTTGGAGTCCTTTTTTAGAAACTGAGTGGGTCAAGGAGTCCATGGTAAAAATCTAATTCAGGAAGACCAGGATGTAAATTCACGTGGGGTGGGCATCTCTATGAGAGAGACAAAAAGACATGAGTAGTGAAACAAGATTACCACAAAATAGCAGTTGTAGCATCTGGAATCTGTCCATGAATATCATGAAAATGACAGAAATCAATAATTGCTTACCAGGAGGTGGAGGGAAATTGTCCTCATAGCAAGGCCTATCAAAGCCTTTTACCTTAAAGACTTTTATACCTGAAAGATATGAGCACATTTAATCTGTAGAGAAGAGTAACGTGCCACACTTTTATTGATGTTTTTATATTGACCAAGGTTAGCTTTTAAACAAATCTAGACTCTGTAACGTAGGACAATACTTTAAAGTAACAGTTGCTGTCTAACCACAGATGTACAAACCTTAATTTTTCCAAGATTACTTGCTCTAGGGGATAAAACTTAACACACAATGTAACTTATATTTTTAGGAGTTTTTGTCATTTGAAGATATAAATATATCAGAACATTAATATTTGTCCTTAGTTAAAATTATTCAAGGTTGTTCCCTATTTGTGTTACATATATAACCAGCTTAGTTACATATAAACCTTTTAATATTTATCTCTTATTCGTAGATCTTTATATTATTAGACCCTTGTGGTTTACTTGGACGTATTCTAATTATACTTTACCACATAGATTTTTTTTTTAACCTGGAAATGTTTTTTTACTAAATATATTCTTATATTTAGGACTTTTTGATCATTTTAAATCCACTGATCCTTCTTTTTGTTTGTACCTTAAAATAACCCTTATAAATTTCTAAATTTAGATAAATATTTTACCTTATTAAAATGGATTAATTTTTGTTATTTACAGTACTTTAATTGAACTGCAGTTGAAACCTCTTGACTCCTTGTATGTAGAATTATACCTGTTGGGACTTTTATAGTAACCTTGTTTTTATGATAATACAAAATAATTTTATTTTTTTTTAGTTACACAATTTATGAAAACACCAAGTTTGTGTGTGTGTGTGTGTGTGTACCTTATGGAACTTAAGGAGTTAAGAGTTCTTGATATTACATTTAACAGTTAGCATTTTAACTTTGTAAACCAATTAGATGTCTCTAACAAACACATTCATGATTAATTTCATATACATTTAAGTGTAATTTACGTATCTTTTTTTTTAAAACGAAGTATCAGACAAGTGCATTGAATAGTATTAGTAATCTTTTCCTGTTAAAGAAAAATCCTAGAGACCATGGATGTCACTTTATAGACATTAACATTTTAACAGCTGTTTAACCATCTAGAAACAAAACTGTACATTAGTAACTTTAAAGACATTTGTACTTTTATTTATTTTTCCAATTTAAATTGAACTTTTAAAATCATATTAACCAAAGGTATTTGGATCCATTTTTTAAAACTTTTAATTTATGAGCTCATAGATCAATTTTTTTTGTATCAAATACATATACCAGTGAACCCACACAAAGCAAACAAAAGCCTTGTAGCTTATTTTTTAAAACCTATTAGATCGAGAGTTAACCCTTGTAAGTTGGCCTTAGAATAAAGCAGAGTGTAATCAGAAAACCATATTAACATAGGCATATTGGATCAAAATGATGAATTTAACAAATATAGAATTTTAAGTTTTTTCTGACCTTTTCCACTAGGGATTGAACCCAGGGCACTTAACCACTGAGCCACATCCCAGATCATTTTATTTATATTTTTATTTAGAGACAGGGCCTCACTGAGTTGCTTAGGGCCTTGCTCACTTGCTGAGGCTGGCCTCCACCTTGTGATCCTCCCCATGTAGCCTCCTGAACCACTGGGACTCTAGGTGTTTTTACCCGTGTCTTGCTAGAGTTCCAGGGATGACCTCTGTATTGAGACACTGTGCTCTTAGGGGATATGCAGGTAACTTCTCTCATTGTCAGCTGGATCCTTTTCTCTGTTCTTGCTTTCCTTGCTGTGCAGAAGCTCTTGGTTTGATGACGTTTCACTTGCCTATTTATGATTCTGTCCCGTGTCATAGTGTCACAGCTAAGGGACCATTTCCTAAAGCAATGTTGTCAGACGTTTGTGTTTTCTTTTTATATTTTACTCACCAAGTTATTCTTCTTTGATTTTAGATAGAAACATAATAACTTTGCCTGCTAATCAGTACAGCATGATATTCAGATCCACGTCACACTCTGTAGGGATCCAACTAGAATCGAGATGATACGCATCACTTTAGAAGGATGGGGAGGGGTGGGTACATGGGGCCCCAGGATCTTCCTCTAGGAAGGTTACAGATTCAAGTCTCATCACTTTTTTCCCTTTTGAGTTGATCTTTGGTATGGTATGGTGGGAGATAAGTCTCTGATTTCTCTCCTCTGCATGTGGATATCAAGTGTCCTCAGCACCATTTGTCAAAGAGACTGTCCTTTATCTATTATGGGCTCACTGGTCAAAGCTGAGTGTGCAGCAAGCTCTTGGGGGATCACCCTGGCATTGGTCTGTAGATTGTGTACTTTTTAGCACCACAGTGTTTTAATTTCTATAGGTTTGTAATTCTTGGATTCTTTTTTTATTTTTTATTTTTTTGCATTGGTTACAGTGAGTTACAGTTGACAGTGAAACGCATTGACACATCATATATAAATGGAGTATAACTTCACATCCTCCTTGCCATACAGGATGTGGAAATACACCAGTCATGTGATCGTATGTGCATGTGGGGTAATAATGTCTGACTGCTTCCACTGTCCTTCCCCCTCCCACCCCCTCCCTCCACTCCCCTCTCTACTCCAAACAACCTCCATCCCCCACCCCAGTGCCTCCCTTGTGATTAGCATCTGCATATCGGGGGACATTTGCTCATATATTGTTTGATGGGTTGTGTTTTTTCCTTTGTGAAGTGTCTGTTCAGTTCCTTTGCCCATTTACTGATCGGCTTTTTTTGTGTGTGTGTTAAAGTTTTTTGAGTTCTTTATAGATTCTTGAGATCAACGCTCTGAGGTGCATGTGGTAAACAGTTTCTCCCATTCTGTAGATTCTCTCTCTGTATGACTGATTGCTTTGTTTGCTGAGAGGAAGCTTTTTACTTTGAATTCCTCTCATTTATTGATTCTTGATTTTTTTTGTGTGTGTGTGTGTGCTTTAGGGGTCTTGTTAAGGAAGTCAGCTCCTAAGCTGACATGGTGGAGATCTGGGGCTAATTTCTTCTTCCATTGGGTTCAGGGTCTCTGCTGTAGTGCCAAAGTCCTTGATTCACTTTGACTTGAGTTTGGTGCAGGGTGAGAGGGAGGGGTTTAATTTCACTTTGCTGCAGAAGGATTTCCTGTTTTCGCACCATTTGTTGAAGACATTCTTTGCTCCCATGTATTTCTGGTGCCTTTGTCTAGGGTGAGAGAACTGTCTATGTGGGTTTCTCTGTGTCTTCTATCCTGTTTTGTTGGTCTGTCTGTCTTCATGCCACAACCATACCACTTTTGTTACTGTCGCGCTGTGGTGTGATTCAGGGACTGGTATTGTGATGCCTCCTTTGACCCCGTTATTGCTAAGGCTTGCTTTTGCTGTTCGGGGCCTCTTACTTTGCCAAATGAATTTCATGACATCTTTTACTATTTCTATGCAGAACATCATTGGTGTCTTAATAGGAATTGCATTCAATCTGTGCAGTGCTTTTGGCAGTAGGGCCATTGTCACAATGGCCCAAGCTTCATTCTGCCCACCCAAGAACGTGGGAGATGGCTCCGTCTTCAAAGGCCTTCCTCAGTTTCCCTCCTTGCTGTTCTGATGTTTGACTGTGGAGGTCTCTCACCTCTTTGGTTGGATTAATTTGAAAATATTGTATTTTTCTTTCCGAGGCTATTGTGATCGGGGTAGTTTCCCCAATTTCTCTTTCAGAGGATTCATCAGAGATCTGTGGGAACACATTGGATTTATGGGTCTTGAGTTTATATCATGCCATTTTGCTGAATTTATTTATGAGTCCTAGAAGATTTCCAGTGGATTTTTTTTGATATTCCAGATACAGAATCATGTTGTCAGCAGATAGTGATGGTTTGGGTTTTTCTTTTCCTATTTGTGTCCCTTTAATTTCCTTCTTCTGTCTCACTGCTCTGGCTAGCATTTTAAGGATGATGTGGAATTGAAATGGTGAAAGAGGACATCCCTGTGTGGCTCTAGGTTTTAGAGGGAATGCTTTCAATTTTTCTCCGTTTGGAATGATGCTGGCCATGGGTTTAGCATAGATGGCTCTAACAAAGTCAAGGTATGTTCCTTCTATCCCTAGTTTTCCTAATGTTTTGAGCATGAATTTTGTTAAATGCTTTTTCTGCATCTATCAAGATAATCCTGTGACTCTTATCTTCAAGTTCATTTGTATGATAAATTATGTTTATTGATTTCCATGTGTTAAACCAACCTTGCATCCCTGGGAGAAACCCCACTTGATCATGGTGCACTATCTTTTAAACATGTTATTGTATGCTATCTGCCAGGGTTTTTATAAAAAAAAATATTTTTCTTTAGTTGTACATGGACACATGACTTTATTGTGGTGCTGAGGATCAAACTCGGTGCCTCACACATGGCAGGCGAGTGAGTGCTCTACCACTGAACCCCAGCCCCAGCCCCTATTTGCCAGAATTTTATTGAGAATTTTTGCATCTGTGACCATCAGGGATACTGGTGGGAAATTTTCTTTCCTTGTATCTTTGTCTGGTTTTGGTATCAGGGTGAAACTAGCCTCATAGAATGAATTTGGAAGGGTTCCTCCTTTTCTATTTCACAAAATAATTTGAGAAATTTGGTAGTTCTGCTTTGAAGGTCTCATAGACCTTGGCTGACAGTCTCTCTAGTCCTGGGCTTTTCTTAGTTGTAGGCTTTTGATGGCATTTTGTATTTCATTATTTTAAATTGATGGGCTTAAACCATGTATGTCCTCCGGATTCAGTTTGGGGAGGTCACATGTCTCTAGTAATTGGTCAATGTCTTCACGATTTTGCATATTATTGGAGTATAAACTTTCAAAACAGTTTCTGATCACCTTCTGTATTTCAATAGTGTCCACCATGATATTTCCTCTTACATCATGAATTTTAGTAATTTGAATTTTCTCCCTCATTCTCCTTGTGGGTAATGGTTTCTCAATTTTATTTATTTTTTCCAAGAACCAAATTTTTGTTTTGTCAATTTTGTTTGTTTCTTTTCAAATTAATTGATTTTTCTTACAATTCCATAATGATGTGTGGTGTCTGCCATATTTCCTTAGGGATAGTTGGCATCTGCCTTTTGTTGAATTGTCTTTTAATATCTTTTATTCATTTAAAATAATTTTATTCAGGTGAAACTGATAAGAATAAACCACACATATGTAATGAGCAGCTTGTTAGGTCTGCCACATACATACACCCACGGAACCGTCCCCACAATAAGGACGTGAAGACTAATTCAGTCTCGAAGGTTCCTGGAGCCCCTTGATAATTCCTCCCTTTCCCCCTCCTCTGTCCAGAAATGACCCTGGACTGGAGTTGACTTTCAAAGACTGGTCAGTCCATCAGAGCCCTGGTCTGCATGGTGGGTGACCCTGGGACAATCAGTTTGGTTTCCAGCCCTTGTTTGTTCTCCATAAAGTCAGGATTCCTCCTATAGGACCCAAGACCACAGGGAAAATTAGGACCAAGGTTTAGGAAGAAGCTAGAGCCACACCTGACTCGGCAGAGTAGGTTCTCAGTTCCTGGCAGCCGGTATTCCTAACAACTCTGAGTCTGTGGTCCAGAGTACGGTTGGGGTCTGCAGCGCCACAGTGTCTTCCTGTCACCAGAGTTTATACCCGACGTCACTGAGCAGAATCCCAGAATTTTCAGGTTTTTTGGGGGGTTTTGTTTTTAAATGAGATTCATTTCTCCTGATAGTGTCCATTTGAAAATCGGATCTAGTGATATTTGAAATGGTGCAATGTTATTACAACCTTTCCTTGTTGCACAGCTTTTAATAACCACCAAAGGAAACCAGGTGTCCCTCAGGCAGACGGTCACTCTCCTGCCCTCCCAGGCCCTGGTCACCAACTTCTGCTCTGTGACTCTGGGGTTTCCATATTCTGCATACTTCCTAAGAGTGAAGTATACATATATCTGTGATTTAAAAAAAAATTATTGATTTTTTTAAAAATACATGAT